TTATTGTTGTTTGGTGGGCCCGGGCTGGATTCGAACCCACCACCTTAGGTGTATGTGGCTGGCACCTTAGCCACTTGAACCACAGGAGAAGAGCCCAGAGAATTTTATTATTAGAAAAAAATATTCAATATTACATGCTATATTTAAGAAACAAAAAAATTTATATACTCACCAACCCACCCTTCTCCTACTCACAAATCAAAGGAAAAGTATGAGAAGGGGATATGAGCTTTTAATAAAAGACTGAAAAACACAGCTCTACCCTACATGTCAACCTTTTTCTACATAAATACCAGTAGATAGCCATTAAACCTCTGTCTGATCTACTCCACTGTCAAGAAAGATACTGCCTCTGAAATTCCTTTACTCCATTTTTATTCTGCTCTAGCTGTTCTAAGATACTGCCTATATCTAATTCTCCCACACATAGACCTTCTTCCATACAACAATGTTTCAAATATTTGACAGGAATCAGAAAATCTTAGTCTCTCCCGCCAGGCAAAATATCCCTAGTTCCTTTACTATCTCAAGCTAGAAAGGTTTGTCATGCTGCATCCTTCACGTTTTATTTCCAGTCACCAAATCCTATCAACTTTTTTCCATCAAAATGTCCTACTAATTCATTTCCTTTCCAATCCCAATCTAACTACCCTAGACCAGGCCTCCATATCTGAGGGTATTTTATCCTCCTACCTAGCCTCCCTTATTCTAGTATCATCTCCCAACCTCCAACTCTTTCTATGACTGCTAGACCTTTGTTATTTAAGAGCTCAATCCATTATATCCTTCTTAACAAAAACTTGCAGTGCAACCCCTTTAACAAAGGAATAGCAATATGTATTGAGATCCTAAGAACATTCGAACCCTTTCTTTTCAACCAGTAATCTCACCTCTGATAATGTATGCCAATAAAATCATTTAAGAAAAAAAAACTGCATTATGAAGATGCTCAAGACATTTGTCTATTCATAGAACAAAAACAAACAGGAAACAATAATAGAGAAATGACTAGGCTCTGTGCCTGCGGCTCAAGTAGCTAAGGCGCCAGCCACATACACCTGAGCTGGTGGGTTCAAATCCAGCCTGGGCCCGCCAAACGACGACAGCTGCAACCAAAAAATAGTCAGGCGTTGTGGCAGGTGCCTGTGGTCCCAGCTACTTGGGAAGCAGAGGCAGGAGACTCGCTTGAGCCCAGGAGTTGGAGGTTGCTG